ATGGGTCCCAGGTGAGGGAGATGATGGGTACAGGTGAGGGAGAATGGTGGGTCCAGGTGAGAGGAATGATGGGTACAGGTGAGAGGAATGATGGGTCCAGGTGAGGGGAATGATAGGTACAGGTGAGGGGAATGATGGGTCCAGGTGAGGGGAATGATAGGTACAGGTAAGGAGAATGATGGGTCCAGGTGAGGGGAATGATGGGTCCAAGTGAGGGGAATGATAGGTACAGGTGAGGAGAATGATGGGTACAGGTGAGAGGAATGATGGGTACAGGTGAGAGGAATGATGGGTCCAGGTGAGGGGAATGATGGGTCCAGGTGAGGAGAATGATGGGTCCAGGTGAGGGGAATGATAGGTACAGGTGAGGAGAATGATGGGTACAGGTGAGGGGAACAGGTGTGTGTATGTGAGGCCGCCACCTTTCAACAGTGTATCTCAAGGCAGTAAACATGGCCACTACCTGCTGTATTAATAGCACCTCCCTCACCCATCACTCCCTTCCTCATCCACCCTACCTTTCCTCCCTCATCCACCCCTCCCTCCCTCCTTCACCCACCATCTCTACCTCCTTCCTTCTCTCCCCCACCCACTCATCCTTCCTCTCCACATCCACCTTACCTTCCTCCCTCCCTCACCCACCCCCCCTCCCCCCTTCACTCAGGTAGACTGATTAAAGTCGTGGCAGGGGGGGAGGGGGAGGTTAATAATGAAGGAAGGAAGGAAGGAAGGAAGAACACGTGGGGGGAGGTAAGGAAGAGTAGACCGGGGGGAAAAAGGCGAAAATATACAAGCCAGTGAGAAGGTTGGGAGGCTGAGGTGCAGGACAGAGGAGGTATTACAGGCCAATGGTGTTATTACAGGCCGAGAAAGGTGATGAAGGCCGTTGGAAAATAAGAGTACAGCAGGTCAATGTAGGTGCAGGTCAAGGGAGAGGTAGGTCGGGAGAGGGGCAGGCCGGAAGCGACAGTAAACAGTTTAGGTACGGGTGGCTGTTAGCGGTGAGGCACAGGAGTAAACACAGTGGTTGGTGATGGTAGTGCTTTATACATACAAACATACATACACATCCTCATACACTGTGCATATACGCATATACATAGGCATACTTATATACATGCATACATACATACCCATATATATACAAACACTATTACACCCATACATACATACATACATACGTTCATACATACTTATATACCCACTCATCCGCATACATAAACAGATATACACACATACATTCATACAAACACATACATGCATACTTACACACACATTCACACCCACGTTATCTAAGTTTTCCTTTCTGGGTCAGTTTCCATGACCTTTGACCTCTTCGCCCAAAATCAATAGGCTCCTGTGTAATGCTTAAGGTGACCCCCCATTAAAGTTTAGTGTAGATGGGACGAGTAGTAGTGAAGTTATCATACGGACAAAGACCTCATACCACACAGCTCCGTAACATTACAGGTGTATAAGTTGTAATTAAAGGAGAATTACTTACATACTCAGGTGGACCGCCAGGTGAGACAGGTGACACAACTTACCTGTAAAATAAATAAATACATTAGTACATATACCTTAATTATATATATTTAAAAAAAAACATATGTAAACCTATGTAACTTATATGTAATATGTGAGATTTAACAAGACCCCCTACCATGCAACGAATATATAATCCGTGTTGCATGTTGCAGGATGCAAGAAAATAAATACTGTACGTGTGTTATGAGCAGCAGGATGTGTGTGTGTGTGTGTGTGTGTATGTGTGTGTGTGTGTATGTATATAATGGCCCTCCGTTAAGCTGTTGGAATTGTTCTCTCTGATATATCTGTGTTTATGTTTGTTGCCCGTCAGGGATTACACACACACACACACACACACACACACACACACACACACACACACACACACACACACACACACACACACACACACACACACACACACACACACAGAGCTGATCGAGGGCATGAAAGTAGGTAGAATAAATTAATATTCCTGGAGGCAGTGTTTGATGCTCTCTCTCTCTCTCTCTCTCTCTCTCTCTCTCTCTCTCTCTCTCTCTCTCTCTCTCTCTCTCCACCCAGCCACGAGGAGGAGGAGTATTATTGGTGGTGGAGGAGCATTAGTGGTGGTGGAGGAGCATTAGTGGTGGTGGAGGAGCATTGGTGGTGGAGAAGTATTGGTGGTGGAGAAGTATTGGTGGTGGTGGTGGAGTATTGGTGGTGGAGAAGTATTGGTGGCAGTGAAAGACGAGGAAGAGAAGAAGGAGGGAGCTAACGGGAGGCGAAAGTGGTGAAAGCGGAGGAGAAGGTGAAGAGAAGAGACAAAAAGAAGAAGAAATAGGAGGAGGAGGAGAGAAGGAAGTCATAGATAACGTGAGCCAATTAGATACGTTCTCATATATCTGTTACGGAAAAAAAATATTATGTGTGAATCTTTGAGACTCTATCTTTACGTGGCATAGTACATGATGGTATTAAGTTCTTTTCTTTATCTCAAGGGTAAAATATATCGTAGGAGCCTCTGGGAATCCACCTAGGTGTCTTAAAGTATAATGAACGTTAGAGACCCGGAGATAAAGGTCAAATGTATCTTATGATCCTTTGAGAATACCAGCCCAGAAGTTGATGATCTTGTCAAAACTTACTTCACCAACTCCGGCAAACTTGGCTAAGACCCCGGATCACAAAACACCGCCAGCACGAGCAATCAAAAGCGCCTGGCGTTCCTATCCACCCCGCAATGACACGCTTATGAAAGTTATGCCAGGCGAACGTTCGCTCGATGACTATAGTTTCGCTCTTAAGGTGTGAACATCATCATCGCCAGGCGTTCCTCTCAACCTCGCAATTACACGTTTATGGAAGTTACGCCAGACCAACCCTCTGCCTGAGGTGACGCTCTTGAGGGTAGGAACGTGTTCTTGTGACGGCTCAGTGTTCAGTCCTTGTGACGGCTCGGTGTTAAATCCTTATTACGGCTCAGTAAGTCCATGTGACGGCTCAGTAAACCCTTGTGACGGCTCAGTAAATCCTTGTGACGACTCAGTAAATCCTTGTGACGGCTCGGTGTTAAATTCTTATTACGGCTCAGTAAGTCCATGTGACGGCTCAGTAAATCCTTGTGACGGCTCAGTAAATCCTTGTGACGGTTCGGTGTTACATTCTTATTACAGCTCAGTAAGTCCATGTGACGGCTCAGTAAATCCATGTGACGGCTCAGTAAATCCATGTGACGGCTCAGTAAATCCTTGTGACGACTCAGTAAATCCTTGTGACGGCTCGGTGTTAAATTCTTATTACGGCTCAGTAAGTCCATGTGACGGCTCAGTAAGTCCATGTGACGGCTCAGTAAGTCCATGTGACGGCTCAGTAAATCCTTATGACGACTCAGTAAAACCTTGTGACGACTCAGTAAATCCTTGTGACGGCTCGGTGTTAAATCCTCATTACGGCTCAGTAAGTCCATGTGACGGCTCAGTATGGTGGAGGTCGAGCCCCCGTTAGCAGAGATGATCAAAGGGTGAGTGAGGGCGGGGGGTGATGACCGTCCTGCTGCCTGGTGGGTCTCCAAGCAGCCGGGTGAAGGGACCAGCCAACACACCTCAAGGGGCTCCTCCTCACCCAGTTCTGCCCGGAGGTTCACAGTTGGTACAGTACCATGCTCGCTCTCTCTCTCTCTATTCTGTGTACACTTTTTAACTCCATAAATACACACTAAAAACGTCTTCATTCCTCTCACACACACACACACACACACACACACACACACACATAACCCTAACTCATCCGTGAGATAGCTGTTTGGTCTGTGTCTGGGGGGTGGACAGTGTCTCTGGGGTAGGAGGAGGTTACCAGTATTTCGGGAGGTTGACAGTATTATAGGTAGTAGGCAGCTATCAAACAGGGAGGTACTACCGCCTGGGAAGATATTGACAGCATAATGTGTTGTCTGATGGTAGACCCTGCTGCCATATGGCATCACGAAAATTGTGACCAAGTCCCAGGTTGCTGATCTGACTTTCTGCCTCATTTACACACAATTGCAGGGTCTCAATTGTTTCACTTACTATTGACAACACAACATACATATATTGTTTCTCACTACTGATCCGTTTTTTCATTTTTTGTATTTTTTATGGTTTATTATTATTATTATTATTATTATTATTATTATTAAATTTGTGCCCCTCAGGCCCCGATGTGGGTCAGTGACCTGTGCCAGGTGGGCTAATCCCCGTAAAAAAAAAATAATCGGGGGTGGAGGGACAGTATCTCGGGGGGGGGGAGGCAGAATCTCAGGGTAGAGAGGTTGCCAGTATTTCAGGAGGTTGATTACTTCAGGGTGACATTACATTTAAGGGGTAGATTGACAGTATTTCCTCTGGGGATTGATAGTATCTCCGGGGGTGGGGTGAAAAAAGTCTGGTATGTAGTGGAGGAACCCAGGTATGTAGTGGAAGAACCCTGGTATGTAGTGGAGGAACCCTGGTATGTAGTGGAGGAACCCTGGTATGTAGTGGAGGAACCCTGGTATGTAGTGGAGGAACCCAGGTATGTAGTGGAGGAACCCAGGTATGTAGTGGAGGAACCCTGGTATGTAGTGGAGGAACCCAGGTATGTAGTGGAGGAACCCTGGTATGTAGTGGAGGAACCCTGGTATGTAGTGGAGGAACCCAGGTATGTAGTGGAGGAACCCAGGTATGTAGTGGAGGAACCCTGGTATGTAGTGGAGGAACCCTGGTATGTAGTGGAGGAACCCAGGTATGTAGTGAAGGAACCCAGGTATGTAGTGGAAGAACCCAGGTATGTAGTGGAGGAACCCTGGTATGTAGTGGAGGAGCCCAGGTATGTAGTGGAGGAACCCTGGTATGTAGTGGAGGAACCCTGGTATGTAGTGGAGGAACCCTAGTATGTAGTGGAGGAACCCTGGTATGTAGTGGAGGAACCCAGGTAGTGAGGTGTGCTGTAATTGGCTGATGGTAAGTTACAGAGAACCAATTACCTTTGTCCCCGGAGCTGCCTATGAGGTAACACAGCAATAATTAATTAGCCTTAGCTGTGTATTAGTGCAGTGTTGTGTTGTGTTCGGTTGTGTTGTGTTGTGTTGTGTTGTGTGTTCTTCTCTGTTCATATGTATTCTGGTGTGTTCATGTGTTTAACTCTTGTTCATTAAGTAAAACTATGCTATCCAGGGGTGTGTGTGTGTGTGTGTGTGTGTGTGTGTGTGTGTGTGTGTGTGTGTGTGTGGTCCTAGTCTCGTTCAGAAATAAGTTCAAATATTGTTCATCTGTGTTCTTTATTTAGTTCACGAATAACACACTTTGTCTAGTCATTGGTGTATCGTAATTAAAGCCTCAGTGATTGTGTTATGATTTCTACTCACCTGAACTCACCTGTTGGGGGTTAATTAGCGTGTAGTCCTTGGCAGGTAATGTAGTCGATGCAAGGTGGGGTATAATTTGGGTGATATCAACGTCAGGGTTTATGTAAATGAGTGAGGGTGAGAGGGAGTGAGTGGGAGAGTGAGTGAGTGGGTGGTTGAGTGTGTGTGTGTGTGTGTGTGACAGGTGTTGGGAGGAAGGTTCATCCTCTCTCTCTCTCTCTCATATCCACCCTACTTCCCACTCCCACCCTCCTACTTACCCCTCTCTCTCTCTCTCACTCACCCCCTCTCTCACCCATCCTACCTCCACCCCCTCTCACCCACCTTACCTCCACCCCCTCTCACCCACCTTACCTCCACCCCCTCTCACCCACCTTACCTCTCACTTCCCTACCTCTCACTTCCCTACCTCTCATCATCCACCCTACCTCTCACCCGCCCATCCACTCTACCTTCAAGAAAGACACATAAGAAGTTCTCAAATTTCCTGCCATTGGGAGAACTAACGAATAGAGAGTTGGCCAAATTGGTAAGGTGAGCTTCAGGTGTATACGTCTCTCTCTCTCACCACGTCTATCAGGAGTGAGAGAGAGAGAGAGAGAGAGAGAGAAGACACACACACACACAACCCCCCAATTCCCGGCCCGATAGTTCCTGGGGCTGTTGTCGGGGTCGGGTTGTTCAGCTCCCCCGGGTCCCTCTTGATGCTCACCTGGATCGCATTATACTTTCTCACCAGTGCTAGATTTTTGAGGTTCCTTCGGGAGATTTTTTTTTGAGGTTCCTTCGGGAGATTGTTTAGAGGTTCCTTCGGGAGCTTTTTTTAGAGGTTCATTCGGGATTTTTTTTTTTTTAGTTCCTTCGGGAGTTTTTTTTTAGGGGTTCCTTCGGGGATTTTTTTAGTTTCCTTCAGGGAGATTGTTTTAGAAAACAAGAAACTCCAAAAATATCAACAAACAAAAAACTCCCCAAAAGACACCAAGCGAAAACAAAAAACTCCAAAACTCAACAAACAAAAACTCCCCAGAAGACACCAAGCGAAAACGAAAAACTCCAAAACTCCAAAAGAAAATCTGGAAGAATCACAGGACTCAGGACACTCTGCCCTAGGACTCCCGCGGGCCCTGGGAAAAAGATTAAATTTGTCCTGGAAAAGCCTGGCAGGTCAGAGGACTCCCAACACACCCGGCCACTGAGGAGAACGCCGCTACACTAGGGATGACTTGCAGGTAGTTGAGAGCTCTGTCGACTCTGGATAATCCCAAGTCTGGATATTTATAAGTCTGGATAATTATTAGTCTGGATAATCCTTAAGGACTCTGGATAATTATTAGTCTGGATAATCCTTAAGTAGTCTGGATAATTCTAAGTCTGAATAATCCAGAGTCAGGATAATCACAGGTTCTGGATAATCTCACCGGAGTCTGATTAAGTCATTTTGGATTCCCGAAATTTTTTAAACCTCCCGAAGGATTCTTAACTAAAGGATTCTTAAAACAACCGAAGGATTCATAAAACACCCGAAGGATTCATAAAACACCCGAAGGATTCATAAAACACCCGAAGGATTCATAAAACACCCGAAGGATTCATAAAAACAAAAACAAAAGGAATGACACAACTTCCCGAGAGGAGAATCTTTACTAACTCCGAAGGAACCACTCCAAAAAAAATCTCCGGGAAGGAACCTCTAAACAATCTCCCGAAGGAAACTAAAAAAAAATCCCCGAAGGAACCTCTAAAAAAAAACTCCCGAAGGAACTCAAAAAAAAAATCGAATGGTCAAAAAGCTCCCGAACCTCTAAACGACTCTCGAAAGGAACCTCAAAAAATCTCCGAAAGGAACCTCAAAAATCTAGCACTGGTGAAAAGTATAATGCGATCGGGTGAGCATCAAGAGGACCGGGGAGCTGTTCAACCCGACCCGACAACAGCCCCAGGAACTATCGGGCCGGGGTGGGGGGGGGGGTGTGTGTGTGTCTCTCTCTCTCTCTCTCTCTCTCTCACTCCTGATAGACGTGGTGAGAGAGAGAGACGTATACACCTGAAGCTCACCTTACCAATTTGGCCAACTCTCTATTCGTTAGTTCTCCCAATGGCAGGAAATTTGAGAACTTCTTATGTGTCTTTCTTGAAGGTAGAGTGGATGGGCGGGTGAGAGGTAGGGTGGATGATGAGAGGTAGGGAAGTGAGAGGTAGGGAAGTGAGAGGTAAGGTGGGTGAGAGGGGGTGGAGGTAAGGTGGGTGAGAGGGGGTGGAGGTAAGGTGGGTGAGAGGGGGTGGAGGTAGGATGGGTGAGAGAGGGGGTGAGTGAGAGAGAGAGAGAGGGGTAAGTAGGAGGGTGGGAGTGGGAAGTAGGGTGGATATGAGAGAGAGAGAGAGAGGATGAACCTTCCTCCCAACACCTGTCACACACACACACACACACACTCAACCACCCACTCACTCACTCTCCCACTCACTCACTCTCCCACTCACTCCCTCTCACCCTCACTCATTTACATAAACCCTGACGTTGATATCACCCAAATTATACCCCACCTTGCATCGACTACATTACCTGCCAAGGACTACACGCTAATTAACCCCCAACAGGTGAGTTCAGGTGAGTAGAAATCATAACACAATCACTGAGGCTTTAATTACGATACACCAATGACTAGACAAAGTGTGTTATTCGTGAACTAAATAAAGAACACAGATGAACAATATTTGAACTTATTTCTGAACGAGACTAGGACCACACACACACACACACACACACACACACCCCTGGATAGCATAGTTTTACTTAATGAACAAGAGTTAAACACATGAACACACCAGAATACATATGAACATAGAAGAACACACAACACAACACAACACAACCGAACACAACACAACACTGCACTAATACACAGCTAAGGCTAATTAATTATTGCTGTGTTACCTCATAGGCAGCTCCGGGGACAAAGGTAATTGGTTCTCTGTAACTTACCATCAGCCAATTACAGCACACCTCACTACCTGGGTTCCTCCACTACATACCAGGGTTCCTCCACTACATACTAGGGTTCCTCCACTACATACCAGGGTTCCTCCACTACATACCAGGGTTCCTCCACTACATACCTGGGTTCCTCCACTACATACCAGGGTTCCTCCACTACATACCTGGGTTCTTCCACTACATACCTGGGTTCCTCCACTACATACCTGGGTTCCTCCACTACATACCAGGGTTCCTCCACTACATACCAGGGTTCCTCCACTACATACCTGGGTTCCTCCACTACATACCTGGGTTCCTCCACTACATACCAGGGTTCCTCCACTACATACCAGGGTTCCTCCACTACATACCTGGGTTCCTCCACTACATACCAGGGTTCCTCCACTACATACCTGGGTTCCTCCACTACATACCTGGGTTCCTCCACTACATACCAGGGTTCCTCCACTACATACCAGGGTTCCTCCACTACATACCAGGGTTCCTCCACTACATACCAGGGTTCTTCCACTACATACCTGGGTTCCTCCACTACATACCAGACTTTTTTCACCACTTTCGATGAGAGAGAGAGAGAGAGAGAGAGAGAGAGTATAAGCCACTCTAAGACGGGTTAAAGCCTAGACTGATTCCCTCCATTATATCACTACCCCCTCCCCCTTACCCCTCCCCCTCCCCCTTACCATACAGTATATATACCACCGGCTGTGAATATACCAGACGGATATATATGATGTAATAACTGGTGGGGTATGTGTGATGTAGTAACGCAATAACGCCTACGAATATACGATGGTAATAATAGCGACGAATATACGGGTATATAGTGGGAGTATATAACAGATATATAACAGAAATATTCCAAGAACATGCAATAAACGCCAGGAATATTCCAAGGTAATACGAATATACAACAGGAATATTCCAAGGTATTACGAATATACAACAGGAATATTCCAAGTTCTACGAATATATACAACAGGAATATACCAATTATCCTAACTATCACCGCCTGAACGAGCTGGACCAACAACAACAGTATCAGCAAGGTCAGGAGAGGCGGGTGTTGGTGATTGACTTAACGCTTCCAATAATAGTGACACCAAGACACTTTATGACCGTATGAGTGTGTGCGTGTGTGTGAGCGTGTGTGTGTGTGTGTGAGCGTGTGTGTGTGAGCGTGTGTGTGTGTGCGTGTGAGTGAGTGAGTGAGAGAAACAAACATGCACACAGATAGACAAACATAGATAAAGTGTGAGAGAATTAATGAAACCCCTGACACACACACACACACACACACACACACACACACACACACACACACACACACACACACACACACACGAGGACGTTGACACTCCGGTGGGACAAAGACTTAGACAGACAGGCACTTGAGAGACACAAAGGAGGTGTATTCAGGTGTAGAGAGAGAGGTACCGAACGACACACAGGAGACATACACACAGACATACACACACACACAGGAGACACACACACAGGAGACATACACACAGACCAAGACAGACAGACATACACACACAGAAGCCATACACAAAGACTCAGACATACACACACACACACACACAGGAGACATACACAGACTCAGACAGACATACACACACACACAGGAGACATACACAGACTCAGACAGACATACACACACACAGGAGACATACACAAAGACTCAGACAGACATACACACACAGAAACCATACACACAGACTCAGACATACACACACACACACAGGAGACATACACAGACTCAGAAAGACAGACATACACACACAGGAGACATACACAGACTCAGACAGACAGACATACACACACACAGGAGACATACACACAGACACAGGCACACTCAAGACAGACACGTAAACAGACACACTCTAGACAGACACGTATACAGACACATATACACACACTCAGACAAACAGACACACACTACATCCTTGACCACCGAAGGGTCAAGACGCACCTGGCGCTCCTCTCGGAGCAGCCAGGTCAACTGTTATGTTGGCCCATACCAACTCCCTCCCCTGAACCCTCCTCCCCACCGGAATATCAACAAGTTCACGCCAGAAGTTACTATTTCATTTAGGAAAGAAATGGAACCAGTGTTAAACAGAGGTGAACAGTGGTGAACAGTGCTTAAGTCAGTGAGAACAACTCAACAGTAACAGTGGTACCCAAGTTGACCTTTCACACAGTGAGGTCCCAGGTACCCAGTGATAACGGCCCGTGAGACCCAACTACCAGCGATGTGTTAATCCGTCTACGATAGGAAGGCCTGGAACCACACCTCACTCATATAACACCATCTGTGAGGGAATTACTACACCACGTGAGGCCCCTCATAACACCATATGTGAAGGAGTTACTACACCACGTGAGGCCCCTCATAACACCATCTGTGAGGGAATTACTACACCACGTGAGGCCCCTCATAACACCATCTGTGAGGGAATTACTACACCACGTGAGGCCCCTCATAACACCATCTGTGAGGGAATTACTACACCACGTGAGAGCCCCTCATAACACCATCTGTGAGGGAATTACTACCACGTGAGGCCCCTCATAACACCATCTGTGAGAATTACTACACCACGTGAGGCCCTCATAACACCATCTGTGAGGGAATTACTACACCACGTGAGGCCCCTCATAACACCATCTGTGAGGGAATTACTACACCACGTGAGGCCCCTCATACACATCTGTGAGGGAACTACTACACCACGTGAGGTCCCTCCTAACACCATCTGGGAGGGAGTTACTACACTACGTTTTTGCTGTTCAACACCTACATTAATCTGTATGTTCACTGTATGTTCCTTTACCTTTCTCTAATGAAGGCTTTTGTTAAACCACCAATGTATGTAATAAGTCATTTATGCCCAATGTATATTTTCAGCCTTCGGGCTGCAGAACTTTTTCAATAAACCGTTAATTATTATTATTATTATTATATACACACACTCAGACATACAGACACATATACACACACTCAGACATACAGACACACATACACACACTCAAGACAGACACGTATACATACTCAGACAGACACGTATACGCAGACAGACACGTACACGCAGACAGAGAGAGACAGTCAGACAAAGAAAGAGTAATGAGCAGCAGAGAGCCGCCGACTGAGTCACAACATGTCCAAATAAAGAAACCGCGGACGTGTTGTGTAAGGCAACCCGGACTCAATTGAATTCCCCCATTCAAATTCACAGGGACGCCCGTATTGACGGCCTCCAGGGATGTGGGCGGGGAGGAGAGGGGCGGGGAGGAGAGGGGCGGGGTGGAGAGTGGAGGGGTGGTGGAGGGGGCGGGGGAGAGAAGGGTGGGGAGGGGCGGGGTGGGGGTGGAGAGGGCGGGAGGAGGCAGAAGAGGGAGGGAGTACAGGGGCGGTGAGGAGAGGGACGGGGTGGAGAGGGGAGGAAAGGGATGGTAAGGAGAGGGGCTGGGAGGAGAGGGGAGGGATGGGATGAGAGGGAATGAGAGGGCTGTGAGAGGAGAAAAGAGGAGATGAGAGGAGAGAAGGTGTAGGGAAGGAAGGAGGAGAGGTGGGATGAGAGTGGATAAGAGGCTTTGGAGAGGAGAGGAGGAAGGGGGGGTAAAGAGGAGAGAAGAAAAGGATTGGAGAGGGAGGAAGGGAAGACGCAAAGAAGAGAAGAGGGGAGGAGAGAAATAGGAAGAAGGACAGGAAGAGTGAGAAGGGGTGGGGCGGGGAGGAGTCAGGAAGGAGGAGAGGGGAAGGCGGAGAGAGAGAGAGAGAGAGAGAGAGAGAGAGAGAGAGAGAGAGAGAGGTACATTCTCAAAGGTTCCTACGATACATTATTAAATTTTCTACCAGTTCACGCCCGAAATTAAACAACTGACACAATTTACCTACGACACCACAAATCTCATTAAAAACATCGTCAAATTTACCACCGCCACCACCCCCTCCCCCCTCCTTAGTGTGAGATAATCCAACGGGCTAACTAGACACACGTTTACCATTCATTTACAAGTTACAATGGAAACACGACACAAACAAATTTTTAGCCACCGAAAGTTTGTGAATGTGGTTAGGGGTTTTACCATCAGGTCAGACAAACAGGTCGAGTTTAGGTCTTGTTTACATGTTATAAGGCCATCACTGTACCTACTCCAGTGATGTTAAGACCACCACCACCACCACCACAGTACTACCTCCAGTGATGTTAAGACCACCACCACCACCACCACCACCACCACAGTACTACCTCCAGTGATGTTAAGACCACCACCACCACCACAGTACTACCTCCAGTGATGTTAAGACCACCACCACCACCACAGTACTTCCTCCAGTGATGTTAAGACCACCACCACCACCACCACCACCACCACCACCACAGTACTTCCTCCAGTGATGTTAAGACCAAAATACAGGCTTCTGGCTGCCTTTAATCGCACTAGGAATATAAAAACATCCCTCACACCCGAAGAACATTTATCAGTCAGATCATAAAGCCACACAGGGGAGTATTTTACACAGACACAAGTTAGAGATAATGATTTAATTCTCTTATCGCAGCAACAGTGTACACAATCCTGGCTACAAATTGCCCCCCCCCCCAGTTGGCCATCCGAGTCCAGCCACCCCACCCCCCACCAGTTGGCCATTAGAGTCCAGCCACTCCCACCCCCTGCACCAGCTGGGCCATTAGAGCTCCAGCCCCACCCAGTTGGCCATCAGAGTCTAGCACCTCTCCCAGTTGGCCATCAGAGTCCAGCCACCCCCCCCCTGCTGGCCATCAGAGTCCAGCCACCCCACCCTCTAGTTAGCCATCAGAGTCCATGAGCCACCTGCCCCCCCAGTTGGCCATTAGGAGTCTAGCCTCACCCAGTTGGGCTGTATCAGAGTCCAGCCACCTCCCCCCAGTTGGCCATCAGGAGTCCAGCCCTGCTGGGCTATCAGAGTCCAGCCACCCCCCAGTTGGCCATTAGAGTCAGCCCCACCCAGCTGGCCATCAGAGTCCAGCCACCTCCCCTGTGCTGGCCATCAGAGTCCAGCCCCCCACCCAGTTGGCTATCAGAGCTCAGCCACGCCCAGTTGGCCACAGGAGTCCAGCCTCACCCAGTTGGCCATCAGAGTCCAGCCACCTCCCCAGTTGGCCATCAGAGTCCCACCCCCACCCAGTTGGCCATCAGAGTCCAGCCACCTCCCAGTTGGCCATCAGAGTCCAGCCCCACCCAGTTGGCCATCAGAGTCCAGCCACCCAGTTGGCCATTAGAGTCCATCCCTCCCCCCAGTTGGCCATCAGAGTCCAGTCCCTCACCCCCCTCCAATGGCCTACGACAGAGGGCCATAACTCCCCGAAAATAAGCAAAAGAAAATTACAGATTATCACAGTCCTCTCTCGTCTTTTTAGCCAACATCCACACACCAAGTTTCTTCCAAATCCAATTCTATTTCTTTGAGTTATCGCGTTCCCAACACACACACACACACACACACACACACACACACACACCTCTACCACCACTGTTGATTTAAAAAAGCCCTGAGTGACGTCATCGACCCACAATTCCTCATCAACGTCATCAGTGGGTTGGATACTTATATATGAATGTATTCTGGGAATTACAAGAGCTAATCTATGGAAGTTTTCCTCTCAAAACTTTGTAAAGAAGGGAGGTGGTAGGGTCTCTCTCTCTCTCTCTCTCTCTCTCTCTCTCTCTCTCTCTCTCTCCAGGGTTGTATTGAGGAAAAGAGTATAGGATGGAGGGAGGGAGGAGGGGGGGATAGGGAAGGAGATGTGAGAATAGGAAGACAGGGAGCAGAGTAAGGAAGGGAGAGAGGAGAGTAAGGAAGGGAGGGAGGAGAGTAGAGAAGGGAGGGAGGAGAGTAGAGAAGGGAGAGAGGAGAGTAAGGAAGGGAGGGAGGAGAGTAAGGAAGGGAGGGAGTGAGTGAGGTAGAGTTATGTCACTAGCACAGCGGAGGATCTCACTTCACGGTTCGTTCACCCCAGTAGTACACCCTCACACCTTACACACACACACACACACACACACACACTGTACTAGACCTCTTCTCCCCTCACCCACACACCCCAGACTACATATTATACCCCCTCCCCTACCTCCATCGCCCTCACCTCCCCTATCACCCACACCTCCCCCATCACCCTCACCTCCCCTATCACCCACACCTCCCCCATCACCCTCACCTCTCTTATCACCCTCACCACTCTCCCCATCACCCTCACCTCCCCCATCACCCTCACCTCCCCTATCACCCTCACCTCTCTCCCCATCACCCACACAATACACGCAGAAGGAGGAGAATCTGGGGTCCTCAGAGGCTAGGGAAGTGAGAAGGAGCATCGACTTGAGCCGGATGGACAAAAGACGATGTTCAATACTCCAGCAGCAGTAGTCGTCGTCACCCAGGAGGAGGGGGGAGAAAGAGAGAGGGGGGAGAAGGGAGGGGGAGAAAGAGGGAGGGGGGAGGGAGGGGGGAGGGAATATCACCGCGACCTACTTTTGACGTGATGATGTAGTTGTAACAAGTCAGAACACAGACAGACAGAGACAGACAGACACACACACAAACAGACAAGACAGGTGGACAAGATTAACTCTATACGCTGTTTCTGCTCTCGTGTCAAGGAATGGTAATAATATTTAACGATATCACTTGAATTAGAGATTGTCTGTTTGAAGGAAATAATGGGAGGGGAAACTAAAATATTTTCTAGGTAATGGAGAGTCGTCTAAAAAAAATTAAAGAAAACGGGAAGCGGTAATCAGTGTTTTGCTTGTTTGTTTGTTTTTATATCGGGAAACTGGCCAACAATATTAATTTAAAATAAAACGGGAGGCGAGAACCACATTAAGTTTATTCAAGAGTTTGCTCAAAGAAAATGGGAAACGATAACCAGCCTTAAAGAAAACGGGAGGCGGGAACCGTATTGTTGGCGACTTGAAAGGACCATTAATATCCTCCCCAACAAAAGGGTGTGTGTTGCCAAAGACCTTTTATTTTACCAGAGTTGAACAATGACAATATAATTAAAGTCATTAGGCTAATTAAAACACATCACACGCGCTACCAGTAATTAGTAAGGGGCCCCACACCTCACTGATCCTGTGTATTAGGTGTATTGGGAGCTGTGTATGTTGGCTGTGTACTGCATAAACTGGCTGTGTACTGAATAAAGTGGCTGTGTGTACATTGGCTGTGTACTGCATTAAGTGGCTGTGTACTGCATTAAGTGGCTGTGTGTACTGGCCCCTGTGTACCCACTTGTATACCAAGCTTAGCAACTTTGTAGTAAGTGTTGGAACGCTGGAAAGTTTCAAAAGGAGGCTAGATAGATTCATGGATGATAGAGAGTGGTAGTAACTCTCGACAGGAGCTGCCATGCACAGGTCAACCGGCCTATTGCAGACTCCTTATTTTCTTATGTAACCTCACTCACCTCACCTCACCTCCCCTCTCATCTACCCCCTACTAACCCCTTTCATCACCAGCAATTCCTCCCCCTCTCATTTCCCCCCTCCTTCCCACCATCCAGTCCTCTCTCCCCTCCCTCCCTCCAGCCCTCCCTTCCCTCCCTCCCTCCAGCCCTCTCCAACATGGAGTGGTGGTGAAGGTGATCCAATTCGCTTCAAGCATTGTCTCTGTCCCTGGTCATTGATTCTGTCTCACCTCACCTCACCTCACCTCACCTCATTTACCGTCATCCAACATCCACTTACCTAGGTTCATCTCACTTCTCCTCATCTACCACCTCAGCTCCCCTTCCTTTATCTATCTCCTGGGCTACTTTCCTCTCCCATAAAGAGAGAGAGAGAGAGAGAGAGAGAGAGAGAGAGAGAGAGAGAGAGAGAGAGAGAGAGAGAGAGAATATGCGGGGTATCTGGCCTAAACAGGTAGAGTAGAGTGTGTGAGTGAGTGAGTGAGTGAGTGAGTGAGTGTGTGTGTCTGTGTGTGTGTGTGTGTGTGTCAAATCGGTCACATTCCCCGGGTCCTCCAACACACGCTAAGAGACGACAGCATGAGACAACACCACGCCCTGGGAGAAAAAAAACAACAACACACATCACGAAACACCCGGATACCAGCCAGCAGGACTCGTCAACAACCAATCAAAAACGGCCATCAAACAGACAAGGTTTCTCATTTACTGTATTTTTTTTTATTCCGTCTCTGATCTGGAGTTTTTTTTACAGCCGTGTTATCTGATGATTCCTCCTGTGTTTACTGTTTATTTATTTACTCGGCATTTCTCTCTTTTTTTATCGCTCAGGGACGAACAGGATGCGTAATTTTTTGTTTATCTTTCGTTATTTTTCCTTGTGATTTCATGAGCTGTATAAATTCAATTACTGATATGATTCTGAACCTTATTTTTGTCTTATTGTTTATTTGTTCCTGGAGAATGTTGTTGTTATTGTTATTATTATTATCATTATTCATATTATTACGACTGTTAAAAATATTTCATCTTTTTAGTATTATTATTATTATCACCATTAACATCCCGCGCTGCTACGGCTATCAACACACACATACATACACACACACACACACACACACATATACTATTGGACATTCTGAATATCCCCCCAACATACACATTACCTGTCTCATTCACCTTAACCCTGATTAAACAACTTAATGTTTTATTTTACTTATTATTATTTTTATTCTTTTGAAGGGGGGGGGGCGCTATGTTAAATGAAGTTATGCTAGGTTAGGGTAGGTTAAGTAAGCGTTAGGTTATGTTAGGCCAGAGTTAGGTTAGGTTAAGTAAGCGTTAGGTTACGTTAGGTTTAATTAGGTTAGGATAGCAATAAGTTAAGCTCAACGAGATCAAATTAACGTTAGGGTGGTTAATCTTCAGGGGAAATAAACTGAGGGGAGCTAATCATCAGGTCACCACTCGTCCTCAACCTTACCCATCC